ATATATATATATATATATATAACACCTAATTAATCCAACTTAACATTCAACTCACTTGAAGCTAAGCCCAAATTTAGTGAAACTTTATCAAACCAAAAGCTTCGACCAAGGCTAAGCCAAACTCAAGTTTAGGCTTCACTTAGGCATACATACCCAAAGGCTAAACCAAGAACCTTTAGGAGTCCTAATGGTTATATCAACACCTACTTAAGTGGTCAAGGCCAAGTTGAGAGCAATCTTATTTCTAATGTCTAAGTGCATGCTTAAATCCTCAAAAATAAGGTCGAGCCACTACATTGGATGATCTAAAGTTTCTAAGGGTCAACCTTTGCCTCTCAGCCACTTCAGCTCATTCATTAGCACTTAGGCCACAATGTTCACCCAAAATTGAACCCCAATTGTTCCATGTGGCTCCTAATAAGCTTCTTGTTTGCATTGTCCCAACTAGTCATCTCATGCCAACTTAGGCCCTCCTTAGTGAGGCAATCACATCCTAGTGCTCAACCACATCCTCCTAAGCCCAACCATACTTCCTCATGTACAGGTTGAAAACATCAGCCACCTACTCATGCATCAATCATCCTCTCGCTTCATCTGAACAAGCTCCTAATGAGGGCTAGATGATCATTTTAACTCTCTACCACCACGATCGTGACCAAAAGTGAAAGGGAATGCAAATTCCTCTAAAATAATTTATTTTCTTCTAATTGCCTCATCATTTTGTTCATAATGCTCAAACAAACTTATCAAGCTTCACCTCAGCATCCTGAAGCCCCCAAACATTCTAGAGACCAAGCATGTCTATGTCATTCCAAGGCATTAGTGTCCAACTTGGTACAACTTTCATGAGCTCTTGGAGTTTGAAGAGAACTTGCTTGCCATATCCTCATCTTGCTTCCTACCATGTGAACTAGATTGAAACCCCTACATTCAATGCAATTACCAAATTACCATTCTTGTCTTTTAGTTGTGGAACTCAAAGAAGAAACCTAGGTTAGAGACTCTCTTTAATCATATGATCTTGTAAACCTCATCCTTATGATAATTTTGGATCTAAAAGGAATAAAATTTAGCCACATAATTGTCTGGGTCTTGCAGTTCTATGTGAATGACATTTGTCTTACGCATGGAGGCAGGATAAGAAATCAAGACCCCCCGCTCTCATGTTTTGGAATGAATGGTCTTGATCGAGCCATGTAGAAAATGTTACTCTTATAGGCCCTTGCACTTGAGCTGTGGAACCAATGACACCATGAACCCTCCAAAGAGATACCAACCCATCATTGAGGGTGACACTACTAACTAAATGAACCCTTCTAATTTGGATGTTTTCCACAAAATTTTCAAGTTGACCCCAATCCAACTTTTTTTGGTTAGATCCCCTTATAGAGCATGAATTCGACATAAGGTTCAAGTCATTTCAATTTGAAAATCAAGTTCTTTTAGTTTAGGTCCTTGCCTTCTGCACATGTTGCAGGTGTGAGCTACCCCTCACAACTAGATGTATGTGAAGCCAGGCTCTTCTAAAATTACAAGGATCCCCAAAGTTAAATCTTTTATTCTTGTTAAGGCTTATCGTTATGCTTGTAATTTAATTTTTAATAGGTTATCAAATCAACCGATATTTTCATTTCATTCAGGCATGAACTCGGCTTGATCTTGCTTATAAGAGTGTGATTCATTTTAGTTGTGGTTTGATGACCTCAAGGTCACTTTTAGTGGGATGACAATTACCACTATGGAGTCACAAGCCCGAATTGGTTATCGTCCTATCCTTAAGTTCTATTTTTGTTATGAGATAACTTTTTCCCACTCAAGAGCAAAGCCAAAAAGGCTCTAGCTTCACCCACTATTATTTTTACTTCAAGTTCTGTAGAATTGCCTCGTTCCCACTAGGTTGTGTTCACCTTAGGATGAAAAGTTGAAGATTCAAGTCATTGCACTCAAGCCAAAGATGTGTCGACCCCCATTTTACCCTCTCTATTTTATTGAACAAAACTCTTATAAGGAATAGGAAAAGGTAACCAACGAGGATGCACAACCACCTCCAACGGGTGTCCGACCTAATGGAAATTGCGGACATGTGAAATTTTGGCCAGGATGCCTAGGCTAATGCTTTTATGCTTCTAGAGGCTAGTCACTTCTACCCCCTTTATATCATTGGGGGAGTGGAAGAAGCCTACAAAGTTTTGTTCTCTCATCACTTAATGTGTTATCTCTTTCTTATTCTCATAGTTCCAAGAAGAAGGAAGCCTATTATGCTCTTTTTGTCATCTTCTAGAGAATAACCCATAAGGACAAAGCAACTCGTACTAATTTCCTTATTGTCGTGAATCGTATGGTTTCTCAGTCCATTGATATTAAGATTCTTAAGGATATCATTGGGTGCTCAACTCTCTCCCATGGAAAGGATGTCACGCAACAACCCACAACTGTATCTCCCAAGGAAGGCTTTCTGAAGGATCAGAAGCTGGAGAGTAATTCATCCGACTGAATTGTCCTTACTGGTTCCAAGATGACATCTACATTGCCCAATCTAATGTCACCTCTGTACCGCTTTTCTCGCAAGTCATCTTCTCCTGATGAGATGGTCTAATTAGACATCTTCCCTAATTCAAAAGATAGACACCCATAAGTTTCAACATGGTTGGTCATTAAGCTCCATCCTTCAAAGCCTTCTCCTTCTTCACATGACAATGACCCCGGGTCGACCTCTTCAACCCAGACTCCATTGTTGTGAGTCCCAAAAAAAAAAAAACAGAAAACCAAAGTCGGTAGGTATGACTTCATTGTTTCAGAGTCCAACAAATGACCATTTTATACTACAATTTCTAATGACATATGCTCCTTCTGACCATGTCGATGAGAGATATGTACCAATAGATCCCTAACATATGGATGGTCGCTCCATTGTGCAGGCTATCGAGGACTATCGTGCTACTGTTTGTGAACTTTGAGCAAATAATTCTCTTTATGCTACAATTATGAGAAGTTACATTGAAAAATACAGCTTAAACCTTTTCAACTAAATTAGATGCTAGAAGATAGGGTTAATGATGAGGGATGAACTGTGAGAAGGGGTAATGGAGATTAACAGCGGCATATGGATGGGATATGAGAATGATGAAAATAAAAGATTTTTTTTTTAGGAGACCGAGGTTTAGGGTCTGGTTGGAATAACTACAGTTGTTTAACAATACAACTATAAAGTTGCTACAGAATAAAATACTGATTAAGAAGTTACGGTAACTATTACAAATATTTTTTTCTTAACTCAAATCATAGTTTTTTAGCAACCACCACACTTAGGGTGTGTTTAGGGCGACAATGCAGTGGTGTAGTGCCACATCAAAGGTTTTCATATTCAACAAAACTGAGTTTTGCCCGAGTTCTCAAAAAAATGCAAATGAAACCTACGTTTTCCCACCAGACCTCACTAGCCTTGATAGATGCTAGAAAACTATGGTTTGACTTCTTTTAAAAAATATATATAATTATCATCATTGCTTTCTGAACAATAGCAAACAGCTGTAACTGCCCAAAATAGACGCATGAATAAGCTAGATCTGGTGGCAAAACACAACTATTAACTATAATTTTTTGAAAAAAATATATAAAATAAAGTATTGTCAAACAAAATATTAAATATCATCTTTATGTGATATAATGATGTTTTAGATGGTACTCATGTGAATCCCCTAAAATATAAATATTAAATATGTAATGTGCAGTATATATACATAAATGCCCTTTAAAATAAATCTTAAAATTTGTGAAGTAAAACCCTAAAAACCTTCGTTTTTCCCTTGCTTTTTCTTCCTCCCCAGTAACTGATACTTGCCCGCCGTCAATGGCTTCTCGCTTTCGCTCGATCTCGAGGCCAGCCCTTTCCATCCTTAGGTCCTCCATGGAAAAACCCCGAATCTCAACAGCGTCCGCCATTCCTCGCTTTCCTCCTCCATTTTCAAGGCAAGAAATTTATTGACTTGTCTCGCTTGCCCTAGCTTATCAGCTCTGATATTTACATTCTTCTGTTTGTTTCTTTGTTTTCTATTTAGGGTTTCGCGGGGGGTGAGCTCGCTGCAGTCGCTAATGCCCCTTCACAGCGCGGTCTCGTCGGCTCGGTTAACGTCCCAGCTGGGGATCGACTGGGCGGCTTGCTCGAGTTCTCTCTTCAAGGGTACGCTCTGCAGCTCGAATCCCGGGGTCTGATTCCACTCCTTCTTTTACCTTTGTTTGAGTAAGCTACTTGATCTTTGTTTTTAGATTCTATCTCCTTGTTTCATATTTTGTGAAATGATGGAGCATGCATGAAACTGGTGCTGGAGTGATTATGATGGCTAGTACGAGTATTTTATGAATTAAATGAGATTGTATAACGAAAACAAAAGCTACTCATTTTATTAATTTCACATATATGTTGATTTTTAGTGGCTGTTTGGTTGCATGATTCAACAAGGATTTCAGCTAAATCTTGACAAATAGTTTTTAGTTATATACCTGCAACTACTTTCTTAAATCCTATTTTTCTCCCATTGTTGGCCAAATACTGAATTCATTAGATCTTAGGGGAACCGAGATTTAAGAGATTGACACCACTTATTATTTTTGTACGTTCTTCTCATTCATTTAAATATTTAATCTTAAAAATATCTATCAAATTAGGGTTAAACCAGCTTTTAGGGCTCTTTGGCAACTTATGAGATTAAATTTAAGCAGGATTTAATAAACCTTATAATTCACATTTAATACATTTTGAGGTGTCAATAAATGTTAAATTTATTTAAGTTTTGATTAAGTGTCTGGCAACTCAAATAAGATTTTAATATTAATAATTGATAATTAAATTATTAAGAGTGATTTAATTTTGATTTAATTTTAAATTTTTTATTATGACATTAATTAATAAGTAGTACAATAATATCCATGAGCTAATATTAATTATTAATTAAAATTACATTAAAATAATTTATCATTGATTAGCATTTTTAACGTTCACAAATTAATTGTTAATTAGTTATCCATCAAGACCATTAAAATTAAATTAATTAAATTATATTTAAGTCAAGATAATATATTAATTTCTTATTAGTTAGTACTCAATTAATTAAATAACAAATGAACTTCATTTCAATAAAATTAAGTTAAAAACAAACTCAAATTCAATAATATCTTCGTAATTATTTTTTAAAAGATTATAAAATTAATAAAAATTATATTTTTTAGTTAACCAAATTTTACTAATTTAATAAATTTGATATTTCTAATAAAAAAGTTTATTAAAAACAACCTTCTTCAAACTGAAACCTTTGCCTATTGGAGCTTTGTTTCTGTTTGATTTCACTCCTACCTGAAACTCTCAAAGGTGAAGCAGTGAGATGTTGCGACTGGTTATTGTAGGTGAAATGAGAAATTGTAATACGGGTTTTCAAGCAAAATTAAATGTCTTGACGGGCGCTTGCATGCGAAGCGATGATCCATATGTTCTTTCTCCTCTCTCGTTCAAACATTACTATTTGCTAGATCTCTGAACTCAGGTTTGATTAATCTTAGATTTATGATAAAATGGGGCTGGAACATGATTTTAAAACAGTTTTGGCAGTATTTACGGTTAATCAGCTACAAAAAGTCCCTTACTGTCTATCACACAGAATAATTCCTAGAATTTAACACATCTAGAGTTTATTAAATATGGATTTATAAGATTTACTGAGTGGCCATTTGGTTGGAGGGGTTTTGAGCATACTACATTTTAAAATTAGGTCATTTATCATTTTAGCTTTTACATTTCAAAATTCAAATAAAGTACATTGAACATATGAACAGAAAGACATCAGATTGGCATGAAGCTAGATATTCTTCTTTGGCCCTTTTTTGGTTCGAGTTATGGTTATTCTATTCAAAATTAGATAACCTTGTAAGTAGTTTGTTCAAGTTGATTCTATTGTGATAAAGTAGCAAAATGGTTGTGTGGTTTAATGACTTAAAGCTTATAAATAAACTAACCTTAAATTTTTTTTTTGTCACATCAATAAGTAATTAGATTTCTATGCACGGTTAAATAATTAACTCTTAATCATATTTGCTTCAATTTCATGTTATTTGATTCGATCATTATATGATTAAATCTTTTCAAGAATATTTTTTACATTTATGCATAGCTTCTAAGGAACCAAATATTTGATTCATTCAAAATATGGTGTATTTTTAGATTTTGAGTTGAAGGTACTTTATTTCTAACCAAATAAAGCCTAATGTGCTATAAATATTAAATAAGGGTATCATGTGGTGAAATGAAGACATGATATTCAATTTAAATTGAACCATTATTTCATGACCACCATACTTTGTTTTCTCTTTATTACCTCTCCTTTATCTCTTTTCTCATGTAAGAGATATTATCCAACTTAGTAGCAAGCTTATAGTCAACAGAGCTTGTATGGATCAGAGTTGATGGTATTCTCCCACACTCTTGCTTGATTCCTAACAGATCATAATTTTCACCTGAGATTCTTACTCATCCCCCAGCAGGGAGTTTTTATCCGCTTTTTAATAGAGCTCTTATCTTCTCATGAGAGCTTTTCTATTCCCCCCGTTGTGACAACTCCATTTAGTTTTCGGTTTAGTTCCCATTTAGAGTTTACTTTCATCTTATTAGGATGTACTCCCTTAGCAGGACTATATCTCATTTTATTTAGCGAAGTCATGGTCATCAAGTCCCGATCTCCTAGAAGATATCTTATATTTTACCTAGTTAATTTCTCTTTTATGAATGAACCCATCCATTACATCAAAGTGGATTTATCATCCTTTTCTAACCGTCATGAAATAATAAGATACTTCCAATACCTGACTTGGTTATTCTATTAATGTATAGACCCAAGCCCAGGCACTTTTATGTTAATATCCAATGAATCTCATTTGTCTTTTAATTCGACTGTCTTATGCATTGGATCCAAAATAAATAATGCATTCATATGATCATCTATCCATTCTCGTGTTTGAGTCAGCTGTGAAGGCTCCTTACCAGACACAACATGTTGTTACAGTAGTTTTTCTTCTAACATATGGGTACTACCTCATCAGTTTTGGATGGGCATTTCCAAGTGAATCTAAGCCAAACTGCTCATTTCCTTAGCTGTAAGTGACCTCCTCTTTAGCTACCCCTTTATTGTGAGCAGATTCCTTGCTAGCATCCCTTGGTATTTTTGCAAATAGTGTAATATGCAGAGAAGCCTTTACACCTCTTGCAACCCCAGTAGAGTCCAATAAGCATGTGATTCCATTTGTTGACGGTGTCTTAATTTTTCTCATGAGATATATTGTTTTGCATGATTTTATTTGATCATTTAGTTAACCATGTTCAGATCGTCTCTAAGGCCCCCATACTAGAGGCAACCCATGTATACAACAATTTGTTCTCGACTATATATGGTTTGATCATTTCATTAATATGGAGCTGACCTTTATGGATGATATTGAGTCAATTGCTTATCACCCTTTGATTATGAGCAAAATTCTCACTAAAAAAGCCTTGTTATCACTTAAAAACTCGTTCCCAAAATTTTTTCAGCATGTGAGCATGTTTTCTTTTCACCAGATTATCTGTTGCTGACTTTTCATAGGACTTAGGAGTATTTTGCCTAATTCATTGGATGCTCTTTTCTAACACATTATATGCATCATGCTTCTCGAGTTTCTTGATCCTAAGATCCCCTCCATCCCTCTTCTTGTTTGATATAGTCACATAAAGAGTGGATCCAACTCCTTATCTTTATCTTGCTAGTTTGCTCTAGGCATGGTAGGCATTGGTATTATCTTCGTTCTTCATTTTCCTATTTCGCATCACCCCCTTTTTTGATTCGATTTAGTTAAATAGAAAATTGATTTAGTCTTTCATTTTTGGATCTTGCCCTTTACTTTTGTCTTACTGTAACACTTTGGATAGGCAGCCTTTGATATCTTTCTTTGCTTTTCATTTTGTCGTTCTGCATTGGGCATTCAAATTTTGAACCATCTTTCTCTACTGGTTCAATCCGATCACTTAGGGAGTGGATCTAACACCTTACCTTTGTCTTTTTGTTTTGTACAAACAACTGGTGTCTTTCTTTGTTCCGTGTTAGACATAAATATGAGATCATCATTCTTTATTGATTTGATATAATTTGTCAGGGAGTGAATCAAACCCTTTACCTTTGTCTTACTATTTCGCTTTGAACATGCATGCATTAGTATTTATCTTTGCTCTTAATTTTGCTATTTTGCACTGGGCATGCAAAATTTGAACCATCCCTCTCTATTGATTCAATTTAGTTATTCTGGAAATGGATCCAACCCCATTTTTTATTATTAGTTTGCTCTCGACTGGTAGATGTTGATATCATTCTTTGTTTTTTATTCTGTCATTTATGCGAATGTTGAACTATCACCCGTTATTGTTTTGATTTAGTCAGGTACTGAGTGGATCCAACCTTTCACCATTGTCTTGCCGATTGACTATGGTCAAACAAGAAGTGTTATATATATTTGGTTCTTTTATTTACTTTGATCTTTTCACATAAACACTTTACCTATATTTGCCACTTGATCATTGACTTAATTGATGCAATATGTTTTATTTCTGATTTGTGGCGAGTTGATCTTTCTTTGACTATGTGGAGGTCAACGTCAACAGTTGTGGTTCACTTGTTATTCACCACATATGTTGAGGGTTCATATGTTGACTTCGTTTTCATGGCAGATCATCCTTGGACTCACCTATTGGGTGCTGTAGGATAGTCTCACATCGATCATGGCCATCATCGGCTTTGAAGGTCTTTCATCGAGTTTGATTCATGCATTATCTATGGGAGCTTGCACAATGTTTTGTTTAGTTGCTCGTGTTTACCTCGGTCTGCCAATTATGGTTGGATTTGTACTCCATGAAGTGCTTCATGTTTGAGATAATATGTGATGATGAGTGCGATGATGATTTATCAACATTTTTGTGTGGATTCATGCTCATGATTCGTGTACGTCCGAATGATCGAGCGTCCGAATGATCGAGATGATTGAGATGATTCAGGTGAGCCTATTCGCATTTGAATTGAGGTTGTCTGACGGGCATTGAGGGTCAAGTAACTACCTTTATTTAAATATTATATAAATTTAATATAGATCTCTATATTCAAATATTTACTATGTATATTTATATCTATGTTTGAATT